TGGGCAACCACCTCACGGGCCCCTATGCTTTCAGTTGTATCACCCTCAATGCACTTGAAACAATCCCTACTCTGGAAGAACAAACCAAAATACTCCAAACTTACCACAAGCAACTTGGTCACCCCAACTGGAGAATGCTCTACTCCACCCTTAAAGAACGCTTCACTTGGCCCCAGCTCCGCCAATCCACATGGAAATTTGTCAAAGAATGCCCAGCCTGTTTCTCCTTCAATTTCAATACAAAACCAGTTGGCACAAAACTCTCCCCCATATTCATGACACACCAACATCAACGCCTAGCCCTTGATTTTTGGGGACCTCTCCCTCTCACCCCAGACAAAACCAGTATGCTCTCATTGCCATCAACCACTTCTCTAAACTCAAAAACTCCAAACCCATCAAACGCTAACACCCTTTGATCTTTTCTCTCTGATGTCTTTTCTCAGATTGGCACCTGCAACCTCATCCATGCAGACAGAGCTGCAGTCTTCTTTTCAGAAGCCTACAAACGTTTCATCCGTGCAAACCAAATTGAAGTTCACATAGCCCAGCCATCCCACCTGGAAGGTAATGGTTGCTGCAAACGCGCTATAAAAACACTCAACCAAAAACTTGCAAAAATCACACCTAAACCCAATCTCTGGGATCTCCATCTTGAACAAGCCACCCGCTCCTACAACTTCACCCCACACTCCACAACACAACTCTCTCCATTTAATCTTTTTAAACGCCGGTCTATCCCATTACCAGCAGATGTCTCAAACCAAATTGAACCACCTGATATCTCTCAAAAACTCTCTCAAGTCCAAGAACATACTACTAAACAATGTCAAGCCTGCTGTGCACAGGCAAATAAAAATAAACACAATCATTTCTCTATTGGTCAACACGTAACCATTCTACCCAGATTACCTACTACTCTCTGGCATGCCGCACATCGCCATTTTCTCCGTAAACGTATAGGCCCATACACAGTCCTTCGCAATAACAGACAGGGCCAATACATCCACCAAACTCCTGCCAGGCCACGCAAAGCACATGCCTGGGAACTCCAACCATACCACAGCCCCCACATGCCCCCTCCAACCTCTCCAGAAAAGCACCTGAAACCCACAAATCTCAATAATTCTTCTCATCTATCTTCAGGAATCACCCAGGGAAGCTCACCCAACCAATCTGGACCAACCCAGTGTCCCACCACTCAGCCACCATCTCCCGTGCCCTCCAACAAAATGGACATCAATTGCGACAATGAACAACTCATTGCCGCCAAAGAAGCACTCTACCTTGACAAAACTGGTGGCCTTGCCGCCATCAACCTCTTTGATGAAGAGCAACTCCTTGCCGATCCTCCAGGAGCCAAAGAAGACATCACCCAAGCCTGAGCCACGCGTCCTTTTCAAACTTGCTACCCCCTTTGCATTGCCCCTTTTCACCCGCCTAAACTCATTTGCAATAAATGTCTCCATGATCGCCCTCCTACTCCTCCGGGCTTTCTTCCGGGGGGGGGGAGAGTAAGCGCTGGCAACATCTATGTTGCCCGCGACTAACCTCTTTCCCTCTTATGGCGCGTATAACGTCCTCGACAAATCTCTATGTCAGGCTGAGCCTAGCAGCACAACCGGCATTCTCACGCCAGCGCTCAAACCAAACACATCCTTCTGAGCTCTTCTGAACTCTCTTGAAAACGCAAACCACCTTGTCTGAATCAAAGTGACCTTTTTTTATTTTCTGTGAATAGTCTCTCCAACCAAGTGAAGAATAAACTTGTACAAATCTCATACATCATTTTTCTTTCAACTCAGGCTAGAGAGACCATCACTGTATCATTGACAATTTTATTCGGAAACAATGTTGTCTTGCTCGCCCAGTCCGCAATCACAGGTTCTACTCTTGGACCCAGCAGGTAAATTTCAGCTTTTAATGGTTTGGTTAGACAGCTTTTATGATTTTCTTTTTTAGTTTGTTTGAGGATTTTCCAAAGAAGGTTTTGAGTCTGCGTTGCTTCTGAATCTTATGAATGTCTTATTTTTGTAGTAGATGATGACTCCACTGATTCTTGTGCCTCACAGAGGCTTGTCTGTGGAGAAGTTCCTCCAACTGCTGAAGGTAAAGGACTATACTGGAGCAGGATCCACAAGATTCTCTGTGGATTGTGGTTGGCTTTGTGGGTGTTAATGCTTCTCTGTTTTTGCTTTTGGTTCAGATCCTGATGATGTCAAGGAAGCAGATCCTGCTGGGGCTGTGGCAATGACCAACAGTGTTTGGGGCCTTGAAAACGTTTTTCAATCAAGTTGGACTAAATGATGAGACCAAGTTTCTTGCACATGAAAGGGACTTAATTCCGGGTCAGGAAAATGAAGATTCTGTGAACATTGTTCAGGCAACTGAATGCATTGGAGCTCCAACTGATCTTGAAGAGTTCTAGGAAATGAAGCTATCAATGGAGGGTATAAAAATGATGATATACAAAAAATGTATGTAATAACATAGAATTTAATGAATTTCTGCACTTACTGGCTTGGATTAAAACTCACCTCCACTGCCACAAGATTATGTACAGCATGGCTCAACATTAATCTGCTCAGCAGGTTCTTTGTGATGCTATAAATGTGTGGAATATTGCATCAAATGAACATACATTTCCATCAAGACAAAGACTGATTGATACATTTAGTGCACTTGGTCAACAAGAGGAATTATATGAAGTGTTACACAAACAGCCCAGATCTGGGACCAAACATGTTCTTGGAATGATGTCCATTAGATGCTTGCATTGCAAAAGCTACAAATTTGAAATGGAAGCATCTGGGACTTGCTGTGCAAATGGAAGAATTGAACTAACTATTGCAAGAACCACCAGAGGACTTTTTGGAACTATATCCAAATCAAAAGTTTCTGGAGAAACTTTGTGCTTATAATACAGTTTTTGCTTGTACATCTCTTGGTTCTTCATCACCATAGAATGTACAACTAAAAACTCAGAAAGATCCCAATCCTGGAGAATACACATTCCAAATACAAGGAACATTATGTCATTGCATTGGATCTCCTCTACCAATTGCTGGTTAAGAACAAACATTTGCACAAGTTCATATTCATGATCAAGATATGGCAACAGTCACAAAGAGGCAATCCTCAAGTATGCAAGGATTGGAGCATTCAATTATCACCACAATGGAACATGTTCTGGATGCCATAAATCCATTTTCATCAACATTCAGGTAACAAAAAGATTAATTTGAATATTTTCAGTTTTTCATAATACAGTACGTATTTTTTTGATCTATTGGATCTAACCTTGGAGACTATGAAGAAGTCACTGTACGTATTCTTGAGCAAGTGAAAACTGACATACGCCAGACAACTGTCCAAATGCAAATGAGGTTGCTGCGTTGATAGTGTAAAGCATGCCAATGGACCAGGGAAGAGATTTTATTCAGAAAACTTTTGAAAGGGGATAGAGGAGAATTTTCAAAAACTGGGCACAATATTATCCCCTTCAATATCCTCTGCTGTTCCCACATGGAGAACTGGGTTGCCTGCATTACCTGAAATAAAGAAATGGGACTATCATATCAAGGAAAAAACAAAATTTCAGCTTGGGAATTTCATGCATATCATTTGTTCAAAAGGAAAAAATTCTCCTTGATTTTACAAGGAAGGCGGCTTTTGCAACAATATGTAGAGGACCAGTATGTTGAAATTGAAACTGGGTGACTGCGTTATGTTTGAAATTATCAATAAACCCATCAAGTAGAGCTACTGCAAGGACTTCAGGACATGATGACAAATGATAACAAATTTATCTGATGTTGGCCACATCATATTACTTGCAAATTTCACTGGTAGTGAAAAACATATGCAACAGCCCTTTTATGATGCAATGGCAAGTGAGTGAAATTCAAGTCAGTGCTCAATATTGCATAGAAGTTTCAATCACTGTATTGAGATAAAATAAAAGTCAAGGAAAATGAATTGAAGGGTGAGTATCACCAGTGGAAGTATTTTAAAAATCTTCATCAAGATAAGAACACTACTTGATAACACATATTAATTGATTTTGTAAGTTTTTAATTCGAATAAAATATGAATAAACTTAACTTGTGCTATATATATATATATATATAATATGCATAATACTACATTATTAATACCTATTTGTGTGTAAGGGACAGGTGTCACCAGTGGTGCCACCCAGTCCAAAATGAAAGAATTCCATGTTTGAATTCCCAGAGCGGAATTCCAAGGTCATCCATCTTACACCGAATTGATGCACAGTCTCATGGAAACCTTTGCCACGTCTGGGGTCTTGAATTTCCCATTGATTGTGTTGAAATTCATTTTATTGCTCTCTCTTCGGAAGCCTTACCAAAGGCTTCCCTGCCGTGTTCCCAGGTGGGATAATTTGTTTTATTTCATATTTTATTGGTTCTGGTTTTTCTCATCGTTTTTTGTTCTTTGTGGCGGCTCCTGCCCCACATTGTGAATAAGGCATTTAGAAAATAAATATTGCTTATGCATTTCCAATGTTGAAATATATCATTGCATTCAGCTAAACATGTTTGGAAAAGCTATGATACATGTATTTTTATTTTTCTTAAAGAAACAACATTTTGTTTCAATTAAAGAAACAACAATTTTATTATAATTCCAGAAAGAATGGAATTTCAATTTTTTCAAAATGTACAGAACAATCAAGAAGGCGGATCATAGGAAATTAAACCATGTCAGTCTTTATCCTCATGATTGAGTTTTACTATGACAATGCATACTGTTCATACTGTACAGTATGTATGCATACTGTAATATGACAATGTATGTCATGCATACATGACCCAAATACTGTACAGTATATGGAATGAGTTCTGATGTTAACAATTGGAATCAGCACTTTCAGGCAATGCAATTCTTGACTAGTCCTAACCTAGGAATTATGAAACACCTAATCCAGGAACATGTTGAACGCACATTCAAAATATGAACACTAAAAAAGTCATTCAATAGGTACTGCTCAGGTTCATGAACTGGGGAGTCCACAGGCCATTTTTCTCTTCCAGTACTGTAGTCCTCTTGGACTGTAAAGAAAAAGGCAGAATGCACTCAGCCAGGTCTGCATCAACTGATTTCAAAAACAATACTGTATAACCAGGGCGAAGACAAAAATTATCTGCCGATAATTTATCGAACAACATTGTACTCTCTCGATTTGCAGGTTCAAATGTTAAGCTCACGGATAGAAAAATTTTTCCAAAAAAAAAAAGCTCACCAAAATGTAGTCAACACCAATGAAAACTTGTGCCAGACTCATAACAAGTGTAACTCATACTTCGGACCGGAGCAAAGGAATAACTCGGGGCTAGTCATGTTACAAAAACACTGTTTCAATAATCGGAAGATGGAAAGATACTCACAAGACTACGCTTCGATTCACCATCTGGCATATCCTCAATAAGCCAGCGAAAAAACCACCACTACTGCAACCAAAAAACAGTTGAATATCACTTCCTCTGGCCTGTCTCTTAACGAAAACAAAGCCTAGGTCACCGGATCCGAGAGCGATCCTGAAATGGAAGCAGTATCACCGATTACCTGATTAACTTTCTTAATAGGGGGCTCAAATTTTCGTTACATCATGAGGGAACTACTGTAGTTTGTTTTTGTTGTTGTTTTTTTTTTTACTGGCAAAACCGAAGAAAATGTGAGTCACCTTTGAGCAAAAACTCCCGCTTTCACTCGCGAACATGAAGCAATTCCGGGATGAAGAGTTCGGCAAAGGAAACTTCTGGGGCCATGATGGATGCCAACAGCAGCAAACGAAGAACAAAGTTGGACTTATGTACAGTAGTCACCACATTGTCCAGCTAAAGCAATGTTGTTGGTACCTGGACCTACTGCCATTCCAACCAGTGTCACTCCGACATTACGATTAATCGCAGCACTTCACTTCATTGCCAAAAGTCTCAAAGCGGGATCGAGACTCAAGTATAATTCTCATCATACACTCATCGCGGAAAGCGCGTATTCTCCTGGTAACGGCTCAATTCCACCGATACAGAATGGTAGACACTTTTTTACGTTTGTTCTGCAATGCAATAAAGAGAAAAAGAGATTACGAAACAAAAAACATACAGTACGAGAGTTTTCCATCCGTTCTTTGTATGATGGACACAAGAAAATGGTTCCAACCGATCGAATGTATATTCGCAAGTAGATTTCGTGCGCGGACGTCCATCATATGCCTTCATCGGAGAAAAAACGCGTCACAAGTCAACAACAAACGTGCTCATTTTCCTTTTGGCTTTCTGAGCACAAAAGCATCCATATCAAAAATATTACACTATTACGAAAAAGCCACAAACACCCGGCCGTTTGTGCAAAACAAAAAAAAGCAATCCCCACTACAGCTTTCAAGGAGATCCGGTTCTTGGCCTGAGATCTAGTCGACGGAGATCATCATCATCGTCGTCGTCGTCATCCAGGTGGTCTTTGGTTATCCTGACTGTGCTCTTGATGACGAAATCGTCGTCAGTGTCACTGCCGATCTGCGGCAGCGGGACAGAAACGGGCGAGAAGCTGTAGGCAGCTGGCACAGGGCTGAGGTCCATCGGAGTGGCGGTCGACAGAAACGGCGTCCCCATCCGCCGCCGCACTCGCTCCAGCTCGTCGCACAGTTCCCGCTTTTCTCCACGAGCCCGAGTCAGCTCCAGTCGCATCTGCTCCACTTCCACTTGCAGGTCGTGCGATTCTTTCCGGTAATGGTCCACGTCTGCAGCTTTCATCTCCCTGCGAATACAGAGAAGAAAGAGATGAGCATGTCCAGCAGTTAACCTTGGTATTCAACACCCCACATCAGAAAAAAAACGGGAAAACATCATACACGAATTTTTTTCACATGCTCTTCTCGAATTCAGCCAACGAATGAAACCAACGTTTCACAGGCTGAGAAGTTCATATTTTCTTCAGGAATTCTCTTCGTGCTTCACACCAGGACTGGCCCTCCACGTAAATACTTATCTCCAGAAAGACAATAATCAAATGAGCATCAATGATCGAATCATTGTGAAAAACCGAATGATTCCGCGTTTACAAGCTATGCACTTCTCGAAGAGTGTATCGAATATATGCTTCACAATTCTGTTTTGTTCTCAACATCGAGATTAATCATAGATTAATCCAATGCACCGTGTAAAAAAAAATTGAAGAGGGAAACCAGAAATCCTCACATGAACAATGTTGGCTCCATTAAATATTCTCTGTTCAATTATTTGCCACAGTTGAATGCAACCTTCCCTTCCATTTCATACTTTCGCTTTTCAATAAATTGACCATCAGAAATGATAATTTTCAAAAAAAAAGCAATTAAATCAGTCAACGTCACGAGTGACGAACTCTATAACTTGAAGAAAAAATGAATCCCAACCGACCGTAGCGCGAGTAAAAAACATAATTATTTGCATTTTTTTTTTACATGAGTTCAGCTAACCTTCACTTTCCATGAAAAAACTCCGAAATGAGAACACGGAAATTGAGTAACTTCATCATCACGTGTTTCATCAAGCGTTCAACTTTAAATTTCGCAGGAATCCACAGTGGAATTTCTTCACGAGAAGGATGAAGACAACCCAAGAAACCTCAATCTTCATGCATGCAGAAGCAAGACCCATGTATTTTTCCTCAGCAGGTTCAACTTCAAGGAACGGCCACTCGGGCACTCACAGCAATAGACAGCATTCAAACAAGTTAAACATAAATCACGACTACTCTTTGATTCTCAACCAACATAACGACAGAGTCAACCAAACATTAGACAGGTCCAGGAAAACCAAACGAAAAAACTTACAGCTTCGTCTTCATGGCAGCCAGCTCTGTTTGCAACGACTCCAATTCGTCTTTCAAGTCCCGATGCTGCCGATGAGACACGAGCTCAGTGTCCCGTCGAACCCCCAACTGCTGCTCGAGATACTCAACCTCTTTCCTCCGATTTTGAGCTTCGTTTCTGGTTTGGTCCACAGTTGCTTCCAGGTCAGAAACTCTCGCCAAAAGCTGTAATACACACAAATGATTGGAATCGACACGAAAATTCAAGAGCACAACACGCCACAACGATGATTCTCTCCAATCGTGAGTCAACCTGTGCAGGAAGAATCTTTTTCTGATAAATGATTGGGACCAGAACTAACATTTGCCTTCATCTCAAACAATTAACCATGAATCCCGACCAATTCCAGAATCCAACTGACTGAGTCTTGTGGCATTGATGGAAACTGTTATCAATAACAAAACGTTGAGTGGTTCCACAAAACTTATGACGAGATTCGGGCAACTGAGGGGTTGCAATAATGGAAGCCAATTTTGCCCAGATGATCGCTCCTTTTCTCGAAAAATGATAAAATATCTCAGAATGCCAGCAAAGGGAGATTTAATCAATTGTACGCAGGTCTGATGTGAAAACTGTTTCTAGCCAGTTATTTTCAAACTTATGTTTTGATAAAGTTCGTTTTACAGGATTACTTTTCAAAAAGTCCCAGAAAGTTTGTTGTAACAAGATTTTCCTGTATTCTGCTGTGCAGAGGAATCGCTTTATAACGAAATAATGCTTGCAAGAAATTTTCTGTCCAGAAGCAACATTGCTAGAGCAAAATATTTTTTAAATTTCGTTTCAACGAATTTTCCTCCATAACGAAGCCATTTATAAATGTAATGCATTATAGTTTGTCCAGAGTGTATCACCAAAAGAAAATAAATAATCGTTCACAATTTCCCATGATTCGGATCAAACGCTTACAAGAACGCGTCAGCAAAAATCAACGTACAGTACAGTACATGCACGCAGGTCGAGTAGATATCACAATCTGCAGTATTCTCTCACCCTCAGCTTTTCTTTCTCGACTGAACTCAGCTGCACGGTCAGCTGTTCTTTTGCCAAGTCAAGTTGCGTGCAGAGTTCTCGAACGGCATTCAGATCACCTTCAGTCGACGCCTTTTCCGCAGACATCTGCACGTAGATCAAAAACATTCACTCACTTACTCACTCACTTGTCACTTCCCATCCCACCCTCGAATTCGAACAAAGAATCAATCAATCCAAATGCAGTACCTGCTTGAGTTCGCGCTCAGCTTGCTCCAATTTCGACTTGCAATCCGCCAACTGAACATTGGCACCCAGTTTGCTCGCACGTTGGTCTCTCAACTCCCGGTCCAAGGCGTCCATCGTGCCCTTGGTAGAGTCCAACTCCGTCTCCTTCGCCACCAGCAGTATTTTCAGGTTCTTCGACGTCGACTCCAACCGACTCTTCTCCACCTCCAAACTGCTGGCCTCTACTGTGAGGTTCTTGTACTGCTCCAGCAGACCATTCCGCTCGTCCTCCTTCATTGCCAGGACCTCCTCGAATCGCTTCACCTCGTTCACGTAGTCTTGGATCTGACTGCGCAAGTCCTCGTTCTCCGCTTTGCACTGCAATCAATGAGGATAAACCGTTCAATCGAAGGCATCGAGATTTAGCAACGAGTACTTTACTGTACTGAGTACACGAGAAAAAATCGTAATATTCAGACTAGGCACTGTATCTATTTGTGTACCAAGCAAAACTTGACAAGAAAGAGAAAAAATGAGGGGCGAGTCAGTCAGGTAGAAAGAATTTATATTTCAAACTTGTTCCCCTTTCTGAATTTCATTTTTCGTACTTCTGTAGATGCTCCAACCTCTTTCGACCGAATTTCAAGGGACAAGCAAAAAAAGTCATGTTACGATACATTAGAAGAATTGCAGGAAATTGTGATTGGATATATTCTGGGAATTGCATGGCTCCTTGAATAAGTTGAAAGGATGCTGAACTTTGAGGAAAGGGTTCATTTGCCCAATCAGTCTTTCAATTCCACTTGAAACATGACAAGTTACCAGTACATTTTTATTACTCTTTTTCCTGTCAAGAAAATAACAGCGAATAGGCCTCGGAAAATTCGAGATACGGAAGTTTTACAGGAAAAGCCGAAGGTTTTCAATGCATTGTTTCGAAGGGATTCGGAAGGGGTTTAATAACAAAAAATTCGAATCAGAGAGGTTGGACTTGTCGAGTTTCATGATTCCTACTCTCGCATAAGCTAAAAACATCAACATTCAAGTCAATTTTTGAATGGGCTTGTAGTAAGATTCTTTACAAATGCGGTTTACAAAATACCGAATGGATTTCGCCAATTGAAAGGTGAAAACTAAGGCGCTCGTCTGGCGCGGAATATTTTGTACTCAATTTGAAATTGAAAAAAGGAAAAGGTGCGCGTCTCATTGGAGGGCACGTGGTACTTGACTAGATACGGTAGTTTATTTACACTCGTTTCTTTTTTTTTTTTTAAACAAACGCAGCATCCGAAGAATCGACGAAAGATCACCTTGTCAAGTTCTTGCTTGATCGAACGGATGTCTGTGATGGCGGTCGTGAGGTCGCCCTGCAACCGCTTGCCTTCTTGAAAGGCGCCTTGTCGGGACATGTTGGCTGCCTCCAGCTCTTTGGTGAGTTGTTGCATGTGTCTCCTCACGCTGTTCAGCTCCACTTCCCTCGAATCGCATTCCGCCAACGTTTTATCCAGCGTCGACTGAAACGAGTTTCAACATCATTTTTTAACAGGTGCTTTCCGGATCGGGTGACCAAAAAACGCCGAAAACGAGGATTGATCCACTAATTGTATATCTTCTGCTGGTTCTCGTCAGACGGGTATAATGAAGTACGGATCTGAGCAGTAAAATTCCGTCAACGATTCTCGTCACAAACCAGTTTTGTTGTGGTTCCATCAGTTTCGTCATAGATATAATTTCATACAAATTATATCTCAGGGGCCACTTGAATGTTTTCCAATTGGTACAAAATGGAATACAATCCAATTTGTGCATAATTGATTCGAAAATGTAAACGCTGATCTTTTGGAGCAGAAAATTTAGCATTGCCAGAAGTTTGAAGCTCAAATCAATATGTATCCAAAGCTCTTTCAGAATTTAGAAATGGTTAAATTTTTGAAAGAAAAATAATGAGCACTTCCAGGAAAAATAAAGTTTGTACTGAATGAATGCTATTCACACACAAATATTTTCCGTTTATTTCAACTCAGTACGATTTTTACAATGTATTTGTTGGTGACTAAAAGGTCGTAACGAAGAGGAAATAGAGAGATTAGTAAATCAAGCACATTAATGGGCTGGGAAAGAGACTCCAAAAAGATTTTAGCATTTCATGTCCAAAAGGAATAGTGATATCGACTCAAACGCTTCCAATAATAAGCTCAAATACACAACAAGGATTCGATTCAACAGATGATTCACAGCGTTTGATTTCCTCGGTGGGAAATCTTGGTCTCCCATTGGGTGATTTCCCTTGTACCAAGGGTGTATTTCCCTTGTTCCTGCTTCAAGTCCTTCGGGACTTGTTTTTCGGAAGGCCTCAGAACCGGTTTTCGCAGGATGAGGGGATGCATTTCTATACAGTATTAATAATTGGTGGGGGCGCCGCAGTCCCTAACAATAAATTAAAGAAAATGTAGGAAGTCTAGAAAAAAAATCCTGTTTAATATCTCATTTTGAATTACTCCATTATTTCATCAAAAGAAGTTGGAACTTGGTAAATTTCTCCACACATCTGTTGTGTAACTACAGTTAAACCCCGTTAAATCGCCCCCCAATAAACCGCCACCCTCACTTAACGCCAAACTTTCATCTGAAACAAATCAGCCTAATACTAAATGGATGGGGAAACCTCCATAGACCGCTATCCGCAAAGGTTTTTCTTGTCACAAATCGCCTAGAGCGCTTCATTTTTACCTCTGTACAGATTGAACTGTTTTTCTTATCAAGGGGCGCATTTTTTTTTCTGTTGTGACCGGCGGGTCAAAGCCTTTTTACAGCTGTGCTTTGGTTGGGTTTTTGGCTGGGCAAAAAAAAATTGGGGTTGCCACTTAGTGCTACCCCGATAAACCGCCACCCTCGTTAAACCGCCAAATTTGTCCTGGACAAACGTTGGCGGTTTAACGAGGTTCGACTTTTCGAGTCTAAAGCACCTATTATGAGTGTCCCACAAAATTTCGGTCCTACCTGCTAAAAGAACCATATGAAGCTTGCAATAAAAAAAATTTCTCTGGTCGCTTACAGTCTAATTTAACGAGATTTTACTGCATATTTCATGATTTACGTGAAATCATTTCAATTTCAGCGGGTTGACAGAGAACTGAATGTGTGCCAAATCACTTCGCTGGCGGCTGTTATTACTGCAAGCTTCTTCATTCACAGAAATATCAAATATCTGCGAAATAGGTCGGGATTGATGGAATAATACTATATAATGAGCACAATGTGACAAGATTCAAGAATCAGAGAAATGTTCTCATGTGCAAAATTTTCATATTGATGAGGGTGTAAAAAGGAGGGATGTCCTCAAAACCAAACATATTCCTTGATAAGTAAAAATTCGCCGAACAGAAAATTCCCATTGAAATAAAATCACCGGACTGTATCATAATTTGAGAAGAGCACTTGCTTGCTAATGATTCCGCAATGATTTCCAGGTTACTTATCAAATACTTGGACATTAAAATAACTTGGACCAAAGAAGCAAGTGCAAGGAAGAAGAGCTTTAGTATTAATACATACTAACCCAGCGTTCTTCAAACTTTTTGGGCTCACAGACCAGTGAATTTCCATAAAATGTTCCGCTGACTTGCAAAGTTCCATCAAATTTTTTCAGACTAGAAGTTTTGCTTGAAAGACTTTAAGGTGAACAATTTAATTAAGTTTCATCTTTTATGCATAAAAAAGAAAAGAATCAACGAAGCAGCCAGAGGGGAATGTCTTCGAAAAATTTAGCAAGGTGGGCTTGAAGAAAGGCTTTTCATCACAACAAATTTCAAATAATTTATTCCAGCAGATGAAAAGTTGTCTGAATATTATTTAAAAAAAACCAACTTTCATTTCTTCATTCAATAATTTCAACTGCCTTTTTCCTTCCAAAATTTCAGAGAAAGATAACAGGATTCATTGCTTATTTGGATACATTTATTATGCTGCAGAAAATTACCTGGCCTACAAAAAAAATTGTGCGGTCCGGCGCTGGTCCACAGCTTACGGGTTGGGAAACACTGTTCTATCCCAACACCACCCAAACATGTTTTTGCTTTCATTATTCCAGTCCCCTTTTTCCCCATTAACCTCTGAAAAAAAAATGTACAAACCTGCGTGCTGGACAGGGTCGACTGAAGTTTGCGGATCTCGTCCATGAGCTTGGCTCGTTCACTGCGTTCCTTGTCAATGGCCACGTCACGATCGTCCAGCTGATTCGACAGAGAGTCCTTCTCCTTGCTCACTGTGTCGACGAAAGACCGGGTGCGGGCCAGCTGTCCCTGCAAGGTCTGCATCTCCGCCTTCAGCGCTCCGTTCTCCTTGCAGCAAGTCTCGAGCTTCTTCTCGGCAGAAGCCAGTTGCCGATGCAAACCAACGCCTTCGACTTCTAATTTCTCCACGCGGCGTTCCTTCTCCTCGCATAATAATCTGCACAAACATCAGTATTTCAGTCAGACCTCTCGACATCGAACCCCCATAAATCGAAAATCTTTCCTAACTAGGAAAAAATATGTCCGGTGTCCCTGACCAAAGTCTCTTTAAAACGAAGTAACCGGAACCTCCTGAACTCGAATTTTTTGAAGACACGAAAGGACAGGGAAAAATTCAACTGGTAATGCTCACGGAATGAAAAATGAGCGATTTTAATTGATCTATAGAATCCAAGCTCGAGGTTTTGAGAGCATTTTCAAGGGCAGAAGGGAGCTACATTTTCCTTAAATTATCAACTCCTGGATTAAATGCATAGCACTTTCTTACGAAGGAACTGAGTGTTACATAAGTTGGGTCAAATTCATAGTAAGTGCGTTTATGTTGAAATTGTTCCAACATTTGGATGTGTTTGACGCCTTCACAAATAAAGGCTTAGTTTACCTTTAATTTCATGATTGAATCGAAGAAAATAACCGGAACCTTTCGTATACGATTCGCAGTTTTTTAGATGGACACCACTACATTTTTTCAAACTGTATCTGCCGTCCGAATTTCAACATTACAGTCGAACGTCTTCAACTCAGACCTCCCTGAATCAAAAACCTCCCCATACTGGATTTTTTTTCCATAACTTGTCCAGAATCCCTTCAAAACAATTTAGCCTGGACATCAGTAACTTGAAATGTTTCAACAGTGAACCTCTTCAACTAGGAATTTTTGAAGACAAAATCCAACAGAAAATACAGATTTTAATGCTTTACGTAAGAGAAAATTGAGCAACTTCAACTGCTCCAAAAAATCCCGGCTTGAGGTTCTGCATCCTGTGGACTAATTTAAACCCGCAGTTTTCTGAGGCTAGTCTTTTTCATGTGGTGGGAAGAATTAAGGAAATGCTTTTAGACCCGCTGCACAGTTCCAGCGGAAATTCCAGCCCCATTCACTCATTCTACAATGTTCAGCAAGCATTTCCAAACCTAGTTTCCCAAACTCGAAACCTCTAAGAGTTTAAGTTTTGCTGCTCAGTCACTACAATTTGTCACTACAAATTCGACTTGGCGAGGACAGAATACAAAAATAATCATTGGAGAGAAAATCAACAAGGGAGCCGTAGGCAATTCCATACTTCAACTGGTTTGCAGCTGCTCGCTGCTGACTCAGCTCCGTGCGAGTGATGGTCAGTTCCCGCTGCAGGGACATGACCTGATCGCGGAAGTTGTTTGTCATGGATTTCTGCGAAGCTTCTCGAGATAAAATCTCTCCGTGATTTCGTTCGAGGGAAGCAATTTTCAGCTTCAAGGCCTCCGTCTGGTTCTGCGACTGCATCCTTTCTGTCCTGGCAGCATCAGAGGCAACCTTCACCAGAAAAATACGAGAAGGTTGAGTTGAGGGTTTTTAGAGTATTCTAGGCAAACGAAGCTCATTTGTAGAATTGTTACTGTTCGATTTTGCACACTTTCATTCCAGGACAAGACATTTCGGTCGCCTTAGGTGAGCTAGCAATAAATCGAGGCTTCCCATTTACACATCCCTTAATGTAGGGAAATGTGTGGCATTATGCGAGGGTGGCATCAGATAATTTGAGAAAAATTCGGCTCATCACCTTGAGACGGTCGCGCAATCGGTCTCGGTCCAATTTCAAAGCAGTCACTTCGGTTTGCAAATTTTGCTTTTCACGCTCCAGACGCTTGATCATCGCTTGTGTGGCAATGGAAGGCGGACCGCTTTCGGTCGCAATTTTGTATTGAATTCGGTTGTCCTCCTCCAGCCTCTCGTTGGCTTTCTTTTGTCGCTCGAGGTCAGAAAGTAAAGTGTCATTCAAAAACTGAAAAAAATTACGATGTGCAATCAAAACGAAACACACAACTGGAGTAGGGAATTTCCGCGATGAACAACCTTCATATCAAATTTCTCTTGTCGTAGAGAGTCACGTTCTCTTTGGCACGCATTCAACTCTTCCTTCAAGGCATCGATCATGGCTTTGGCATCGTCCAAGTCGGCTCGAAAACGACCAGAGGTCTGGAAAATAGAATTGGGCAATACAGTAACTTTTACCAGAGTGAAGGCAACTGAGATCAATCCACTCACAGGAATAATTTCGTCACACCAGGCAACGTTCTTGCTCGGCACGCCTGCATAACTCCTGCCAGTGTGCGACTCGAAGTTCCTTTCGCTCCCCTTCATTTCCCCTCGCATATTTTCCTGTAATCGAAACATTGCTTGATTACGACGCACTGTACTTATCGTATTGGTAACCAAAAATGTACTGTGCAATGGTGAAGACAAAGCGTCAACTTTTTTCTTCAAATCTGGATTGAAACCCGCGCAGGATATGGTACCAATTTAATTCAATATGCGGCTCATTATCCCACCAAATTACACCAATCCAATAACTAAATTCATTTTGGAGCAGATCTTTCCCACAGAGGAAATGGGCCGAGTATAGAAATTCAGTCAATTACCATGTGCACTGGGGTTTTCAGTTGAATACTTTGAACGAACTGAATCTCAGTAAGATATGCACCCCATTTTAGTGACTCTAAAATGGCGATATTTCAGAATTAAGAACAGCCAGATTGGACTTCAAAAACAAATCGAACCCGAATTCAACTACCGAATTTACTTGAGTACAAGCACCCTTGAGTAAGACTGGAACCACAGTTTTACAGTCAAAAGCTGGTATGAAATGTCATCCCCAAGTAAGGTACGCAACACAATTTTAGTGAATCTAGAAGTAAAATACTGTATTTTCAAAAGGAAACCACTAAAAATTGGATATGGACATAAATTTATCCTGAATTCAATGAATTTTCAATTATTCCTTTTACAGAATTTGTTTTCTGTTCAAAGCGTTTTCCCATTGGATTAGATCCAAAATTTCCCGTTGAAATAAAATATTGTACAATGCAAACCGTGCTTGAAATTTTTTTGAAACATGTATACCCGTACCAAGCACCCTCACGTAAGAAACGCACCCAGGTTTTTCCGTTGGAAGTTCGGATAAATTTGTAACCCAAAGTAAGACGCGCACCCCATTCCAGGGACTATTATGGCAGTACAACATTTCAAAAATAAGAACACTCCAAACTTGACGTGAATGGAGTTGAAATTAACTAATTCTCAATTGTTTCCATCAAAATAAGTTTTTCTATTTAACTTTCCCCGTTGTTCATGTTAGAATCAAATATAAAGCACATCTAAATTTCTATGACTTTTTCCTCTTAATTTATACCAGCAGTCCCCTTTTTTTCCTTTCAAATTTGAGCAAAAAAAGGTGAGCATGGTACTCAAGTAAATACTGCAAGGTATTCGGAATCTCCCACTGCACAGAAAATTTTCGTTTCCACCATTTCATTTTGCAACTGCAACAAGCTCGAAAAATGCTACTCAAAGAGCTACTGTACAGCCCAAGCTTTTCTATTCGCAAACGAGCAACCACATTTTAAAAGACAAGAGGCAAGAAACAGAAATGAGTAAAACTGTGAAGAGAGGACGGCGGCCCAACCGAGACTGTTTCCTTCATGTCATGGTCTCTGCAGGGCAACACTACCTGTGAATCTGTTATCCGATGGTCACTGGAAGCGCTACATCGATAGTCAAAGCCAGAGTCAGCAGTTGCATTAGGGGAAGCACGAGGAGGGGAAACGAGAGCAGATGGTTCGGCAGCATTAGCTAATCGTTCGGTACTTTCAAGTACCGACGGTTTCGTGGCAGAACTTGATCCACCTGTGACAATCGTCTGCTCGCCCCCGACCGCCTGCGTCCGAACGGCTGGCGTGTCACGCGGAATCGTCGTCGTCTATCGCAACAAAATGAAAAGCATTCAAAATTATTAATGAAGTTGAACCTTGATAACTCGAACCTCCCCACGTCGATCTTCTTTCATTTTTAATCCCCGACTGTATTTCCTCGGACAAAATGCATAAAAAAGAAGGCTTTCTTCCTCTAACCCCCATAACTCGAATTTTTCACGATAAAAATCAGCTTCCTTATCGCTCTGCCACTGGAAAAGCACTCGAACCAGCGAAAATCCTAGAAACCTTGAGTAAAAATCTTTAGAATTTAGCAAACAAGCATAAGTCGAATTTCCCTTTCTCATCAGATTCGATTTGAAGACGCACTCGTTACGCCAATGGAATGAAACATTCGGAGGAGTGTTGCATGGCGAAAATCACAGCAGAAATTTCCAGTCAATTCTAACTACAGTTGAACCTCAATATACAGTAGTAAATCTGATCTGTGTACGTCGATTTTTTTTACAGTCCCTGTCTGAAATCTCTTAAAAACAATCATCAAAAAGCACCCCATCTTGATGGATTTCCTTTTCGAACCTTTATAAGTCGAATTTTCCGAAGGCCTCTTGGATAATATTTATTTATTGATACAGTTCAGGAAAACGAAAATCCATGCAAATGTAAGGTGATGCGTTTCGATAAGTGAAAGACTATTCGAGCAAATGAAGCCTTGCCTCCAAAATCAGCATCATATCAACTAACATAAGGCCAAGAATATCACCAATCACAGATTCCTCGTAATTTTTTTTCCTTACCCCAACAAAAATTAAATTTGCATCCAACTCGAAACCTCAGTGACTCAAATTTTTATGCTAGTCCCGTGAAGTTCGACTGCGCAATTTCAAGAAAGGAAACTCACCAAAGACGAGACAGGAATCGATCGACCAGACTTGGAAACCTCAATGTTGGTCGTCACAGTGAACCCACTGAACGGGTGCTTTGTCGTAGAGCGCATCACGTTGGGTCGGGTCTCTTGCTCCACCGGCGAGTATCTATCCTTGGTTTTTGCCTCACTCTACAAAACAAAAAACAAAATGAACCCTGAGAAACCTACCTTTTGTGAAGTACATCAATAGGGGGTCTCGATATGCGAACGCAATCGGGGCTTGAACCTTGTCCCTGTGTCGGATCATTAGTAAGTTGAATCATGTTTTCCCATAGACATTAATGGGACATATTCAACTGGTTCTCTTACTCATCAGAAATCAGGAATCGAATTCTTGCCAAAATTGGATAAAAATTGTTTCTCGTCAACTTCAAGACCAAGTAAACAACACTGCAAAAGAAAATCACAGCGAATCTAATGTTGGAATCAAATGTAGCTCAAGAAGCAAGGAACAAGAATAAGTCCAACTATACTCAGCGAACAATGGAAAAAACTCAGGAAAAAAAACGCACGAAATTCACCTGTTTTTCGATAATGGATTAGGGTAATTTTATAAGGAAATTTATTTTCGATTCGTTCGAATATTATTTGCATTTCCTGCTCGATTTGTTCAAGAGATACTGTATCAAGATTTAGAGAACCAAATTCTTTTTTTATAAAAATGTAAACCACCCGAAATTGGATTCAGACATGCGTTGATCCTGAATTGAACGAATTTTTAATCATTTCCATAACACAAGTTGTGCTCACTCTAACATAATACATATTATATTACATATATAATACATTTTCCCATACAAATTTGTTGAAAATTTCCCGTTAAAATCGAATACGATGGAAACCTGTAGTTACAAATTTTTTTTTGAAAAGTTTACACCCGTCTATGCCGCGCACCCCGTTTTTTCCCCTTTCGAGAAAAAAAGGTGCGCGCGGTATTCGAGTAAATACGGGTATACTTTGCTTTGTTTTCTTCAAGTGTCCCTAAGACGAATCTTCCGTAGTTCGGGGCCTCAACTGTACATTCATTCGAACTTACCAGAGGAACAACACCGTTGACGGGTGACCCAGCTCCTGGAAGCCCAAGCATTCGTCGCAAACGGTCTCGTTCCGCTTGCAGTTGCGTGTTTTCGTACCTCAAACTCGTGACCTCGCGTTTGAGTCTTGACACTGATTCGCCGGTTTCAAAGCGTCCGGTCTGTGAGAAAATAAACACACGAATCGATGAATTTTTCGAATCTACAATCACGTAGGTTCGGACAGCACAATAAGAAAAACCTTTGTTTTCAAGGAAGACAGCGACTTGGAGATGTCCGTGAGGTATTTTCTGTCGTCTTCGGAACCGCAGGTTGAGGCCGTCTCGAACATGTATCCCTTGCGGGTCGACGAGAGATCTTGACTCCGACTCGTTAATCGATTCAACTCCGACAGCAAATCTCGCTCTGCATCAAAATCCCGTACAGGAAACCCATCAATATTAGGGCTCAATGGTACATGCGATCTATCATAAGGATGGTTGTCCGATTTCCTCGCCAAGTCCGGAACTGACATCTTTTCGTTTGCCAGATTCATATCCCTCACTCAATGAATTGTTCAAGTACCTTTTCGGCGAACTGGAGGGGCTACCAGCCAACGACGCGGTGGGTCTGGTTCATTTCAGGAAAATTTGCACCACATGTACAGAGCCATTGCTCGAATGTTTGAATCAATAAATTCGAGCAAGGTCATGTTTTAATTGATACATTCGTGAAAAGTTGGCAGACATTTCGCGGACTTTCAATGAAACTCGACTTAAAAAGGTTCCTCAGGTAATGTTCATCAGTTTGATTCATTATTAAAAAGATGTTGAGTCATGTACCAAATGAATGAAGACATCACACTCCAGCGAATGAATTTCATGATTTACCTCATCAATATAAGGTTCCTCATGGATGGAAGGCTAGCGAACTACTACATAATGTCTCAACAAAGGGCTTTCATTGTATATATATTGCCTAATTTTGTACCGACGTCTGCAGCGTATTTTTTTTCGCACAGTTATCTTCGGCTACTTCGGGGCTATTTTGAGTAGAGGTAATTTTTGTCTGCCTAAAACTTGCCTTACAAAACTGAATGTAACGTAAAGATGCTTTATAGCTCACAGCAAGTCATACCAGTCAACATTTGAGGACAAATTTCACTCCCAGCATAAAACAAAACTGGCCAAAATCATTACAGTACAACATTTTTTTGTCTATCAAACTGAGTTTTTAGAAGCGGAATATTGTAACTTTTTTTCCTTGAATGCTTGTTAGTAATTGGCTCAGGTGAAAATTCACACAACTTGATAATGTGTCACGTAAACATCAGCAGCTCATAATTTCAATAATTTATCTTTAAAAAAGTCTTCTTTCCATTTTCGATTTCAGTGATCGGATATTTCAGAGGGTCGGGAAATGATCAATTGAAAATCGTCATTTCAAATTGCTGTAAAAACTCTCACTTTGAGCGACAACAAAAATTAGACTGTCGTCATTTTCAGACCTACGAACCATTTTCAGTGAGTCGATTGATCTTTTCCATCAGTCGATCCCGATCTCGTTGCAACGAGTCCATCAACTTGATGAGATCTTCCTTTTCACCACAGATTTCCCGAATGTCCTTCTCCAGCCCAGACTTGGTCGCTTTCAGCTCCCCAATGTTCGACTTGAGATTCTCGACAGTTTCGTGCTTCTTTCGACATTCCTCCTGCAAGCCAAAAAACAAAGACACTCGTATTCTTTCACATCAAGATACGCGTTCGTCACAAAATTTCATGAAATGGAAGAGAAAGATTTTTGCTAGCAGAAGAATCGTTACGAGCAAAAAGTCGACCTATGGATATTGGACCTCAACTTCGGCACACTTGTCCAGCGCTGCTTGCACTACTCTGACTCGATCCTTCTCCGCCTTGAACGACAGCTTGTCCAACTCCTTCACCTCCTTCTTCAGGCCCTCTTTCTTCTTGGCCTCTTCCACTGCCTTTCGCATGGCGACATGCTGCTTTTCCAGAGCCTCTGAGTGGAAAAAAAAGGACCGAAAAAATAGGTAGAAGTGCCGCCGTTAGTTCGATGTGAATTTTTCTCGTTGGCAAGTCGCAAAAAAACCGCTCATTCCATCAGCACGGAGAAATTCAAAACACGTACAGCGGCGGAAGAAACTTTCCGACAAACCCAGAACCCCTCGTAATCAAGCACTCGAAATAAACGCCCCTCGTGAGAGAAAGAGAATTCGCCCATTGTTCCCTTTTAGTAGGGTCCAGAAAATAAAACGGAGCGTCGATTCCTTCGTCAGCTTCCGTACGCCGCAGCACGTGCTCTTTCGCTAAAGAAAAAAAAAAAAAGGGGCCAACAAAAGCAATGAAAAGCAGCAGCTTCATGTATAGTATCAGCTAGTCGATAAAAGTTAAGGTTTGCTCCCTGCAAGAACACGACCCCACGAGTTACCGGCTCCGCGAAGAACACCTGAGCGTTGTGGGCACACGTCAAGAAACATCTGGGCAAGGATCCCATTTTTCTCGTGAATGTGACCAACAAAATTGTTCATATCATCTGTTTGACAACAGGCGCACAATCAAGAAAGGACTTACAGTGGACCCCTGGTTTGAAAACATAATTGCTTTCAGGGAAAAGTTTGTTAACCTACCGTATATCTTCCAATAGACGGCGTCCACTAAAAAACTGTCCATTATTAAAACCGGCAGAATTGGTCAATTATTTTCGGGGAACTGTAAATTTCATTTACATTCTTGAAAGGAAATTCAATAAAAGTTTGAATAGTCGGGTTTACTGCCAATTCTTTTAATACTCCTAGACTGTGGTACATTTCAAAACTATGTGTTTCTTTAATACAGTATTTGTTTTGAGAAAAAAATCTCCATTTTTCCATCAGATCATCGAAGTCTATCAAACGAATGTGAATTTATTGCAAACATGTGCAAAATTTTCATTGTTATATCAAGATTCAATTTTCACGAAAGAATTTTGAGGGAAATCCGAGGGAAAATTCTAATTTGAAGCATTCGCTAACGCCTTTCCTGCGTTTACATTAAAGCATCAGTGGCTGCTCCTTCCTTCAGTGTAGAAGTAAAAGTTGGTTAAATAAAGTAAAATGGTATGATTAATTAAGTCAACTTTGCTTAGGTAACTAAAGAGGTGTCCAAAAATGCCCTTTAGGCCTGAACCTGTTCCTAGTAAGGCTCGTTGCTTGGAGCCGCCGGAACGTATCAAGTTCGTTTCTCAAGGCCACTACGTGAACTAAGTTTTTCCTCTCCGTCACGCTAAGGAACAGGCTTCAGAGGATAACCCGTCTTTTGGAAGAAAGGGACACCTAGGGTTGTTGCTGCAAAGGGGTCTTTACAGGATGCACTGCTTTACTTAATGTCATGTCATACGACCACCACCACCAGCTTGGGTAGTTGTACGACCACCCCTGGTGGAAACACTGCGGGGCCCGGATTTCCTCCACATTTCGTAGTGCCACGCACAGGCAGTTGGATTATCCTCGAAAACGGAAGGAAGGCATAGCGCAATAATTTTATTGAGCCACTGGAAGTGTTCCTGACTTCCTGTATTGACTTCAAAAGAACAAGTGTGCAACTGCCCCAGCACACAGTTTGCATCAACAAACGAGTTTGTGTCCCGCATACGATGAAGAGCAGATAGACGAGGTTAAAAAAATTTATATATAGCGAACAAGATGTAAAAGAAAATTATCGCGTCTTTGATATGATCAGATAGAAAAATGAAATTATCGCAATTCTGAAATTTCTGTAGCTCGGATAGCTCCGAAGACTTGGAATGGATTTCTTACAACGAATATTTAATTAGATCCAAATTACTGAACCTCAAATCAAGCTTCGCATTGTTCCTGAAAATATTCGTTCTCATCTAAAAGAGACAAA